ACTGTGACTGCGGAAGTACTATGGGAGATTGCATGACGGGAGTGGAAAGTCTTTTGATCAGTAAGATAATTTTAGAAAAGTGAAAACTAGAGTGACTGTGAAATAAAGGTTGGTTTTAAATATAAAATATCAAGGAATCTGGATGAAATAGTGAAAGGAAATTGAACGGGTATGAAAGGGCAGTACATGTGGCAAGAATGCAAGGTCAGAATCCGGGGTCAAAATACGTCACAATACATCCATCATCATCCATCGATTGTCAACAACTATGGATGCGGTAAATGTCTTGATTTGCAGTTTGCGTGAATGGCCGGGGAAAACATTTATGCCATGCTGTGCTTCAGTAACAGTATTTGCTGATTGTTTGTGCAATGGAAATTAATTCAAGAAATGCTGTCAAGGGACATTTCCATCTAGTAAACAAACCCTGGGACGTTTATCTTGAGAAATTGATGAGAAGACGAAAATCACTTGGGACAGTTGTTGTTGTGAAACAATAGACATACTTCTCCATGGTATCAAGGATAGTTTTGATTATTAGAAGAGGGAAAGTGCTGCTTTATGGAAGAGCAAATTTCAATGTCATTGGCCACAGTAATTCTAAATCGATGTTGGTTTTAATTGGTGTTACCTAGTGTTGAAGTAATAACATAACGATGTTTTCGAGTTTAATAGTAAATTATCAATATTAAGAAATTAATAGTAAATGGTAGACTCCTATTTGAATAACATCAACCAGTCTAATGTGGTTGACAACAATGAAATTCTAACCGCAATCCAATTAGGACAAATTAATAAAAATATACAAACATCATTTATATCAACTTGGAAAAGTGAATTACAAAACGACAATCAATCAAAACAAAATGAAATATAAATAAATTAAGAACATACAGAGAATTAAAAAGAAACAATTTTGCTTTTGAAACCTACCTTGTTACCCTGCAAAATATTAAGACTGGCAGACACAACGGAATACCCCTTGCTAATAGATTGTGTAACCTTTGTGATCAGAATCAAGTAGAAGATGAGTATCACCTAATGATGTCATGCAAAAGTTATACGCCCGATAGAAATGTCTTATTTGAAATGGAAAAAAACAAAATTTGTCACCGAAGACACAATTTATAGTCTTGCTAAACAACAGTGGTCTAACACTCCCTGTAGCAAGGTAAATTTTTATTTTATTTTATTTATTTTATTGTTTTAACTTTTTATTCTTTCTTAAACATTTTTAACCATTGCCAATCGCTCCGAGGAATGTGTAAGTGTTAATAAAATTAATATTATTTAATTAATGACCCCGCACATTAGTGATTGGCCTTGGATAGTTGAAGAGATTTTAAATTGGTTACTCAATAGAAGTATTCGCCGTAACTCAAGACTTTTCATTCGGGTTTATACAACGCTTACATGTCACTATCAGGAAGGTTTAATGTCTTGTTTGTATTTGCACAATGTGAAAGAGGGGTTTATTGTCAAAATTTACTGTATATGGGTGGTTGTATGCATATTGAACTATTGTCATGAATTTGTTTTTGCGTATCTGTTAATCGACTTAATTAACTGATTATTAGCGAATTGCTGTGTTATGTCTGTCATCGTGTAGGCCTATTTGAAGTTTTGGACGGAACTTGGCTCAGTGATTTGGAACTAATTACGAGATAATCGTCGCCATTCTGACAGTTTATATTCATAGTTATTAATGTAGTGAACGATTAATCAAAAGATATGACGTATTCAGTACTTAGTGTGATTGGCTTTATGATTGAAGGTTACGCCCTAGAATCTTTTTACTGCTTTGTAATTGGTTAGAGTTTTGAAAATGAATAAAGAGAGTTTGAGTTGGTCTTGGCGAATACTCCACGACAGACGCAGTCAGTCCGAGAGAGTCTTGGGGCGA